ATAATAATAATAATAATAATAATAATAATAATAATAATAATAATAATAATAATAATAATAATAATAATAATAATGATGATGTACATTGGCGAAATAATAGTTAGTTGTTGGAATCCATGTCTCGGTTTAGAGATTGATGATACACCTTTATGAAAGCTTATAAGTTTTCATGTGTAAACCCTGCCGATGGATTTTGAATCCGACACATGAAATAAGTTAAGCGAAAGTCTAAAGGAAATAAACAATAAATTAAATCGTCAGTAATTTAATTTAATTGATTAATATTTGAATCTTAACATGGGGAGTTAAATAAGATTTAATGGATGAATTTCAAAATTTAATAAGGAGTGCAATTACGAATTTTTAGTGAAATAATTCGTAATTAATTATGGTGGATATTAATTTTGAAAATTACAAATTAATTCCATAATTGAAAGCCTTGTTAATTAAATTTTGTGGTCTCTATTGTGCCTAAATAATAGGAAATAAAGGAATCCTTTTTTCTGGTGGAAAAGAAAACCCAACAGATTTTGGAAAAAGGTTTTAACCCTTAAAACTTGTGTTATAAATACATAAGGTTCTCCACCTAGCGGAAGGAGCACATGGTGGCCGAATTTCAGCCCTCTTTCCTTAGAAAATTTCGCACACACGAAATTGCTATTTTCGGATATTATTTGGGTAACACAGTAGAAGACCGTGGAACGTTCAGAGACCGTGATCGTGCGGGTGGTGGAGAATTCATTGAGTTGTTGTGGAATTAAAAGCTCACGTAATAAAGGAGCTTTATTCACGCTTCAAGAGGTAACCCGTGAAATCCCGTTTATACTAGTTATCTAGATTACATGTGTTTTAATACTGGGATTGCTTTCGCTGCTTATAATAATCCATCAGTTTCGTGTCTTCTAGTGAGACGACGCTCGTTGCCTTCACCATATGCTGCAATATACTCCTTGTGCCTCAGTCCAAGCTTCTCAATTGCCTTCTTAATGACTTCATAGCCTCCTTCATTCCTCATAGACTTTGTGCTGAAAAAATACATTCCAAATTTTCAATCACTTAGAAATTGAGAAAAATATTAAAAATGAGTTGAATATGAAATGTTATTATTTATTGCTCTACCTGTAGTTTGTATGAGCTCCAGCACCATCCCAATCACCCTGGAAGGGGAAAAGAAAAGAGTATTTGAGGTTAGGATTTAGGCAATTGGACATGATTTGGTCGAAATTTGAAGGGGAAAAAATACAAGTATTTGAAGTTGAAATTGAAAAGGATGTTTGTTCCCTAGGTCATGGGTTCGAGCCATGGAAACAGCCTCTTGCAGAAATGCAGGGTAAGGCTGCATACAATAAACTCTTGTAGTCCGTCCCTTCCTCCAACCTTATGCATAGTGGGAGCTTAGTGCACGAAAATGCATTACTTTGTTCTCTACGTATACAAAATAGTGAGCTTACCGGAATAGGTTTGGGGTCAAATGACACTACAACTCCAGTAATCTCAGTAATCCTCTATTTAAACAACAAAAATCAATAAGTAAATTTAAGTTAAAATCCACATAGTAAGAGAAATGAATTTGAAAGTGAGGCTAAAACTATCGACAACTTAGCTACATTACCTCAAGAATGTAACGAGCTGCCCAATATTCATCTGCTGCTGAAATGCCAACCGAAGGTGCAACAGAATAGTAGCTATATAAAGTAATTATGTATACGGTAGCTATATGGAATTAATAGCCACTAAACAATAGTAATTTCTGAAAATCCCTCTAAAAATATATCGAGTATGTAGTTGCATATGATAAAAAAGTATACTGCTAATTTAATACTTAGTTGAAAAATTGATAAAAATAGCACGGTATAGCCAGTTTTCGGATTGATCATTCAAAAATAGCCAGCGTTTACCAAGCCAATAAAAAATAGCCACTATTTTGCTACAACAGAGACCGATCCAGCATAATATACTGGAGTTCGGTGCACCTATGTATGAACTCCAGCATATTATGCTGGAGCGGTATACTTTGTTGGCTCCAGTATAATATACTGGACAATTATACTTGCTGGAACTCCAGTATATTATGCTGGAGTTCTAATGTACTTATGCTGGAACTCCATCATATTATGCTGGAGTTCCAGCATACTTATCCTGGAACTCCAGTATAATATGTTAATATACTGGCGTATTTTCCGGGTTTTGAATAGTGTTTTCGCTCAGATTTATCTTTACATGAAAAGTGGCTAAATTTCGATTACTTTTAAAACTGAGTTATTTTTTATCGACCAATTGTAAATCTGGCTATTTTTGAATTTCTCCCAAAAAATTGACGTCCAGAGTTAAATTGGATATGGGCTCAACTTGTGCTTATATAAGGTCCAAAGGAAAAAATTTGGGCTCAATCAGGTAAAGACTTGAAGAATTAACATAAATAGTCTCTNATATATATATATATATATAAAATTTATGTATTATATGTGCATAATTATATATAATCAATGTCTAAACTATGTATATGGCTAGAAAAAATAAATAATGAATATGAACGGCTATACATGTAAAGATCCCTAAAGACTTTGATAATCAATGTTCCTTGATGACTTTCCAAGTCAATATTGACCCATAATATTAATCCAGTTATAAAAGGCTTTTTTTTTAGCTGTGACCTGGTCCACAATTTGGCCTTTTTTTAGGGTTAGATTTTCTCACATAATATACTTCAAATTTCTTCTTCCTTTTTTCTTTTCTAGAGCTTTTGTCACATAACCTTCCAGATAACATTGGATTCGGCTTTAATGTTTGCTCATATAATTTTTAGTTTGTTCGTAAAATATTACATTGTGGTCTAACGTTTGTAATAACTTACAAAATTTATATCGCGATCCAACATCTCAATAAGATTTTTTATTTGCTCAAAAAGAATCTTTAAACCGTGGTCTAAAAAGTCCATCTGTTGTAACAGAAATAAAAAGATAGCTATTTATTAAACAGTTGATAAGGGACAATCACAAAATTTCACGTCAAACATCTGCCACAAGGTGACCCAATTCAGGCTAGGTTACTAGTGACTCAGCCCACAATAAGCCCATTTATGAATATTCTTATTCTGCTATCCCGTCTTCTTTACTCACTAGCTCACTCGTTTGTTTTAAGAGTTAATAGGTAAAGAGGTTTAGCCAGAGGTTTCGGGTTGAGTCCTGGTATAAAGTCATCTTTATTGGATTCTCTTTACCTTCTAATATGGGGTTTTTCGGTGTGATTTTAGACTTAATCAAGCCTTAATGTGGGCACCGAACAAGGCGAAAAACAAAAAGAAAAAGGGAAAGAGGTCCAATTTTAGGCTAATATAGTGTTACATCATTCTCCTAATAGTGTTACCGTCAGGCAGAGAAGCAGTAACACAAGTAACTAACAAAGGTTGCAAATATAACAGTTTGACTTGAAAATTCATATAGTAACACTGCTAGAAAATGGCTATTTTTCGATTGTAAAAGCGGTTAGAAAATGCTAGTTTCCGACTACATTCAGACCAAAAAATCGAAGCTGCAAAATAGCTGGTCTGAAATATTTTGCGACCGAATCCGTCCGTAATTTGTGATTACAACCGTCGGAAAGTCAAAATAGAAAAACGACTAATAAATGTGGTCAATTTTCCGACTGACGCGGTCGCAAACAATTTAAATTAAATTTTAATTGAATTTATATTAACTTTCCCACTACTTCGGTTGCAAACGGTATGCATAATTATAATATTATCTGTGTATTAATACCTTACATATTCTCGTATTTCCTATATCTCTTATATTGCTGTTACTTTGTTTTTATGGTATTTANAATTGTGATGTCTTTGTTACAGCGCACTAGAGTGAGACTAGCCAGTTAGGAAGTAGTCTTAGGATGCTATTGATCAACTACTGATGATGGGCTTTATCTCCTGTGTATTAATACCTTACATCTTTCTCGTATTTCCTATATCTCTTATATTGTTGTTACTTTGTTTTTATGGTATTTATGTTATGTTATGGATTTTATGGTACTTTATGTTGTTTTATTATGAGTCTATTGATAGTACTAATATAGTGTCTCTTGTTGCCTCTTTGAGCCGAGGGTCTCCTGGAAACAGCCTCTCTACCCCTCGGGGTAGAGGTAAGGTCTGCGTACATATTACCCTCCCCAGACTCCACTTGTGGGATTACACTGGGTTGTTGTTGTTGTTGTTGTTGAGTTTTCCTACTACCTTGATCGCAAATCTAATTTAAAATTATTTATTTATTTATGTTTCCGACTACTGTAGTCGCAAACCTAATTTAATATTTTCTTATATTTAATTTTTCCACTACAGTAGTCGCAGATGTTCCTGAATCTAGAATATATTGAAGCATTTTGCGACTATTATGGTCGGAAATCAGTCGGAAAACTGAGAATTTTTTGTCAGATTCCAGCTTTTTAAAGAAGCTCCACCTGCCAATTTAAATATACAACAACTAACCAATTAATCCACCATGCCAACTATCACACCTCCTTTTTGCGCGCCCGCCCCGAAGGGTAAATGCGCGAGGGAGTTTTTCCCAATTTAAGTGACAATATTCGAAATGGGATTATTTATTTTAATTCAGAGTCGCCACTTGGGAAAGGTTTGGCTTTTGGTGTCCCAAGTCACCGGTTTATCTTGAATCCCAAATCGAAGAAATTTTCGACTTTTCCAAATGAAGTCTGCGAACCAGAAATTCTAAGTAAGGAATTCTGTTGACCCGAGGGAAGGTGTTAGGCACCCTCGAATCCCGTGGTTCTAGCACGGTCGCTTAAATTGTTATAATGGCTAAATATCTGATTTAAATACATGTTGTGACTTATGTGCTTTTATTAAGTTTAAACCGCTTTCATTATTACCATTTTTTATAGAATTGCAACGTTGTGAAAATGCATCTCGAACCACGTCACAATCAATGCACCCGTGATTGTCGACACATTTGACTCCGTTGAGATTTGGATTTGGGTCACATCAATGTGCACCCGAATTAAGAATGTAATTTAATTAAGCCGCGCCTAAAGGGTCTAACGTGTTATTATCTTTGGGGAAGAAGTGAACTTTTCTAGACAGTCCATCCCAAACCTATGTGTTTATTATGATCAATTATTGAGGGCCCCGCAATGTGTATCTTTGTTTGACGAGGCTCGTCTCATTACTTTTTTCTTTTAAAAAAACGTCCTAAAGTGACTACATTTCTATTATGCTCGTCTCTAGTAAAAGAAAGAAAAATGTATGTTGATTAAGTGGTCTGCTTAATTAATCCTGGCCTCTTATTAATAATCTGATTGATTATTTACAAAATGAAGGATATTAGACTTCATGGAACATACTTTATTTTGATGAAAATTACATACAAGATTGATGAAACGCTACAACTACTACAAACGCTCCTTGAATTAAATTTAACTCATTTAAAACAGGATTAATCAAGACCACTTATTAAAGGATGCTACTAATGATATTTGGAACTCGTCCTATGAACTGCCTAATGAAGTTGAAACTCGATAATCTAGAATGGTATTGTATTTTTGCGAAATTAAAGAGAAACGTCCACCTTACATAAAAAATTGCTAAAAATGAATTAATAATTATACTAGATGATAGCGCATTCCATAAATTATACGGCTATATCATGTGTACTGCTAAACCAACCATATCGCAATTTTAGACCAGAATAGTTTCAATTGAGTACAAACTTACTAATGTTTTTCTATTAGGCTACAGATTAAAGAATTTATACAACTTTAACAATATTTGCAAAGCTGTAAACAAAGCAACAAACTATTAAAATCCTTCAGATATTTCAATTCATGCCTTTCATGGTTACATCAATAGGAAATGTGTACCTGGATGTTGAATATAATAGAAGAAGAGGAGAAGTCAGTGGAGTAACAATGGCGACAGAAACAGCAGCAGTAACAGCAGATAACAATAGAACAAATCCCAGTGCAAGATGCAACTATAGCCGATGGAACAAGCAGTAACAAAATAACAGCAGCAAACATTGCAGTAGAAACAAAGCTCCAAGACAGACCAAATCCAGGAGAACAACCAATGCAAACCAACCAATAACTTAGTTGAGACTTGGAAGAAATCAGAATTGATTGAACAGGTTGAACAAATGAAAACCAAATAACAGTAGGAAGAAACAATTTCTGATTTTTGTATGTTTTTCTCTCTTGTTTATGTGTCTGTATATAGCTAACAATCAAGTCTCGAAAAATCTGAGTCCAATTTTCAGTCTAAAAAAATCTGTCTGCCTTTTTCTTTTCAAAATTCAGTCCCCTCTCTAATGGAAGTTCTGCTTCCTTTTTATAT